GTGAGTGAGTGAGAGTGAGTGAGAGTGAAAACGAGCAATATTCCACACCTAAAAACAGGCTTCACACATTGTACCCATGTGGGGGGGAATCAAACCCGGGTCGCAATGTACAAATGTATTAAGTGTAACCGCTTGGCTACCCAAATGATCCAGATATAAGTGAACAATTGAAATTGGCATACCATCTACCAACAACATAATTTATGCCAGTGCATCAGACAATGACATATGACACATGATACAGTGCTACTCTTATGACCTCTGATATTCTATACAATTCGTTTATTGAATTACTGATAATTTATCTTGTCTGGTGGTTATTAGTAGTTTCAACAAGATATTCTCATGAAATACAGATCTCTTAAGTATGTGAACCTTGCTTTCCACTGCCGTCAGACAAATTCCAGCCTCATGACGGCAGTTTTGAAACAATCAAGTCTGGGCCAAATTATCTAGTGGATGGTACTACATAGTTCATATATTTATGGAACACAAACATTCAAGGCTTTTAAAGGCTGCCAACTGTCATTTTCACGGCATTTTTAGTTGGGTTATTATCCCTTGTCTGTCTATAGTTTATTAAATCCAGCATACTATATATTAGTTATAAGCAGCACGACCATCACACACTTTCCAATAAGATTCATGTTACATCAATAACAAAATAAATTAAGTCTGTCATGAATTCTTAAGGGTCTTTGGCACACAATTCTATCACTCAGTAAATCTCACTTTAACGTCATTGGCATTTTTGTGTGATTAACAAGTAAATGTAAACTTGTACAAATTCAAGGCTTTTCAAACTTATTTTGGTGAAGGTTGACACCAGAAATCAAGGATTTTCAAGAGGGTTCTTAAAATTCAAGGCTTTTTCAAGCCTTACGAACCCTGTACTATGAGCAATGACCCACACAATCTGGGGTTGAGCAATGGTCCACACAATCAGGGGTTGAACAAAGATCCAAACAATCTGGGGTTGAGCTATGACCTACACAATCAGGGGTTGAGCAATGGTCCACACAATCAGGGGTTGAACAAAGATCCACACAATCAGGGGTTGAGCTATGGTCCACACAATCAGGGGTTGAGCAATGATCCACACAATCAGGGGTTGAGCAATGTTCCACACAATCCGGGGTTTAGCAATGATCCACACAATCCGGGGTTTGAGCAATGGTCCACACAATCAGGGGTTGAGCAATGATCCACACAATCAGGGGTTGGGCAATGACCCACACAATCAGGGGTTGAGCAATGATCCACACAATCAGGGGTTGGGCAATGATCCACACAATCAGGGGTTGAGCAATGATCCACACAATCAGGGGTTGGGCAATGTTCCACACAATCAGGGGTTGAGCAATGATCCACACAATCAGGGGTTGGGCAATGACCCACACAATCGGGTTGAGCAATGATCCACACAATCAGGGGTTGAGCAATGATCCACACAATCAGGTGTTGAGCAATGATCCACACAATCAGGGGTTGGGCAATGATCCACACAATCAAGGGTTGAGCAATGATCCACACAATCAGGGGTTGGGCAATGACCCACACAATCAGGGGTTGAGCAATAATCCACAGAATCAGGGGTTGGGCAATGGTCCACAGAATCAGGGGTTGAGCAATAATCCACAGAATCAGGGGTTGAGCAATGATCCACACAATCAGGGGTTGTTGGGCAATGGTCCACAGAATCAGGGTGCCATAATACTTTCACATTTATGGAACTGAAAGCAGCCGTTAAAGCCACCACTATAAGTGTATAAGCAGATCTTCAAAATTGGACAACCATATAAAAAACATACATCTACAAATGGCAATCAAAATGGTACATTTCTGAAATGCGCATCATTTCCAGTAAATCTTATAAAGAAAACTCTTCAACACAGGTCAATATTTACACCGCATCGACAGTCAACATTGACTAGTGATAGAAAACATCTTTCGTCCATTAGTCGGCACATTGTTTACTGGTCAATGGTATGGTCCTTGTACCTTCCAGTCTCCCTTGACAAAGGTATAAGAATCTATACTGAAATGTCACTTTTTACAGTATTAAAGAAGTTGTTATCCATAAACTGTGTCTACCTTGTCACTATAGGACTAGTGCCATTTGCTACTGTTCCATTCCAAAACACATTATTCAAACCCTTGCCAACAGTGGCTAGAGTACAGAGCTCCAGATAAGCTGCGTATCTGCGTAAAATACGCATCAGAAATGCAGAAATAGGCAGTAAAATAAAATCCAAGTGTATCAAATATGCAACGAACATTACAGATACGCTACAAAAATAAAACTTGTGGGTATCATGAAAATATTGTGAAGTAACCCTGCATATTCGATTAGCAAATCAGCAACTGATTTTGAAATTATAAACGGGCATTCCGTCAACCTTGACAAACTCCACGATGACAGTTACCTCATGATCATTTGCCATCACACTTTCTTGTGGAAGTATCGTGGTATTTTTGAGTCCTATAAAGCTCTCGAACCCACACGACACCAGTTTGCAGGGACTAGATGAACAGTGTTTTTAAATATTTAAATACCCACATGTGCAAAAAACTAGTGGGTAACAGAAATTTGAATACCCAGATAAAATCTTTGGGCATCAGTAATTCTAACACCAAAAGCATATCTGGAGCTCTGAGCATGCTGAGAGTATGTCAAGTGTAGCTGGGCACAGCAACACATGGAAGGAAGGATTGATCAATAGCATGCCTTCTGTCACTGGCGTGAACAGATCATGCATACTATGGCAAACTGACATCACAATCTGAATACACAAGGCTGAAAAACATATTGCACCACATTGTGGATCTTCAATCAATAGCCATTATGTTTGAATGTCAGCATGTTCCCTGGATCTACACTGGCTTGTCATGGCTGACTAAACATGTTCCCTATGATCGTGCAATACCAAAATAGTCCTAAAACATAAGCAAAGGTTATAATCATGCAATTAGCTGAATGTTTGACCCCTGCTGTATAATCACAGCTTCACTGTTCCTGCCAAGTGAGTGAACGGTGCATTGCCTTACTCAGGGATTCATGAGTCATAATTAGTACACATACTGGACAGCAATTAGTGCAACCTCGATTGGGATCAAATTCCATCATCTTGCACTGCTTGCAAGTTTCCTCTACAACGGCAGGGGTTCATTGTTGATGTGAGAAGGGAGAGAAAGGGTGAAGTACCACGGAAGACCATTAGTTTGGAGGGAAAATGTCAAGTTGTTACAAGTCATTGAGTGAGTTTGGCGTAGTGTCGCAGAACGTCAGCTTGATGTGGGAGGAAAGCCCAAAGTGATAAAGGTCTTACCACTTTGGTGAAACTCACTAGCACAGATATAAGTCATTACAGGGTGAACCATAGGATTCTGCCACACCCAAGGGAGACAATCCTGCACAGAGTAACTGGAGCACACCTTCGACAAACTGCTCCTCTGAAGGTGCAACAATTGCTGGTGTTCAGATTTTATGCTGTAAAGGTGCATCACAGTATGTGCAGTTCACCCAGATACTGTTGACTTTTCACTGGGCATTGACTGAGAATGTGTGAAGTAGGGGTGACTATTGGGGCTATTTGCACTATTGCTATTGTACAGCAATAATAGCCTACACTATTCCAATAGTGTTGCGATAGTTGTCAAATATTCCAATAGTATTGCAATAGTATTGCAATAGTCGTAAACCTGCTTCAGGCTTAATAATTACATTGATCAATGAAATAGAAATGCATAAGGTATTGCTGACAATCTCGAACACGGCTGCTCCCATCTGCTACTCAAACCAAAAGAAACTAACAAATCTGAAGTTGTTGTAATCCTTGCAAAACAACTACTCAGACAGGTTTAATAAAACCTGTACAAATTAAATATGTAATATTTTTAACTAATAGCACTATTGAAACTATCCATTGTTATGCATACTGTCCACGATGCTATTGGCATAATAACATCCTATCAACATGGTAACAATTGTGATACTACAATATATCGTTCAACCCCTTGTGTGAAGGAAAGCCTATAGTTTGACCTGAACAACCTGTCAATACCACAAATGGCTCCAGGACGGGACATGATACAGATGTCAAGGTATACAAGCTCACTTGTAGATATAAAATGGTGAGGCCAGGTAAAATTGCAAACCTAAATTCTAAGTCAAAGAGTGAGTGAGTAAGTAAGGTGGGTTTAACGCCACTTTTAACAGTATTCCAGTTAAATCACGGAGGGTCAGATTAATGTGGGAGGAAAGCCCGAAGTGATGCAGGTCTCAGACATTTACCACTTCGGTGAAACCCACTAGCACAGGTATGGTGCTGACAAACCTAGAAACATAATCAGGGCGAACCGGGATTTGAACCCACAATCATAGGTTTCTGGCATGCCCAAGGGACGCAACTCTGCACAGCGATTTGGGGCGCCTTAGATGACTGGGCCACCCGTGGCCCCCCTAAGTCAAAGAGTTAATATAGTAAAACTATGTAGTGTTTGAAGAAGAAAGTGTTTTGCTTGCTTGTACTTGAGGTCTATAGGATAAAGAGAAATATGCAGTGTTCATAACTAAAAGGGGTGCCCATGTCCACGAAGTTTGGTGATATAGTATCTCAGTCTAGACTCCTTAAATCTTTTAACATTAGAGCATTGACAAGGACTTTTTTTTAATGCTTAACTTCGACCACTGATTAGTAATGAAGTTTACACATATTTTTTTTTGTTCGTTGTTGTTTAACACTGCACTCAGCAATAATCCAGCTATATGACAGCACTCTGAAAATATTCAATTTGGAACCAGACAATCCAGTGATCGACATCATGAGCATCGATCTATGCAATTTGGATACGATGACATACAACCAAGGCAGTGAGTCTGTTCACCTCATCCCATGAGTCAACTCCGACGGAAACTATTGGTTGCTGAAGACCCCTTCTCCACCCGGATCTTCACGAGACAGTATTACCATGTGACCTTCATGTATAAACTGACTTACCTGTCTAAATTTTGCCCTTGCTTCTTTTTCTTTCATCCTCCCATGAGCAACTAGGTAATCAAATACTTCCCCTGTAAAACAAAACAAACAAGTGTAAAAATTGAGTAGAGATAGTAATTGATTCATCCACCAAGTGGAAGTATAACAAGTCATCAGTCTTGCCGTGCTAGCATGTGTATTAAGTGTGTGAGTGAGTTGGGTTTAACGCCGCTTTTAACAATATTCCAGTTATATCACGGTGTGTCAGCTTAATGTGGGAGGAAAGTTCAAAGTGATGGGAGGTCTCAGACGTTTACCACTTCGGTGAAACCCACGAGCACGGGTATGGTGCTGACAAACCTAGAAACATAATCAGGGCCAACCGGGATTCGAACCCACAATCACAGGTTTCTGGCATGCCCAAGGGACGTAACTCTGCACAGCGAATCGCGGCGCCTTAGACAACTCGGCCACCTGTGCCCCAGCATGTGTATGGACAACACATATGTGCATAATGACATTTTAGCCAAATTATATTGAAATTCACATATTTATTTCCATCAATGGTTATTCTACATAGGTGAGGTGAAATGGGGTTTAACTTCGCGTCCAAAATTATTGCACTTATATAGCGACGTGCATGTACATGTGTGTGCTTGTGTGGCTGCTTGTACTAGTCCAGACTGATGCCGATTTATAGTGCTAGCTCACTGAGATACCATGCCGTAGTTTAACATGAATACCCCACTCAGACACAGTATACTGACCCCGAGCCGACCAGTCCTTGTTTTAGCCCCTTAATGCTGAGCGCCAGACAGGGTAACAACAAGTACCATCTTTAAATGTCTTTTGGTATGACGCGGCCGGGGATCGAACCCCGAACCTTCCGCTCTCCGGGCGGACGCTATACCACTAGACCACGGAGACGGTCCTATTCTACATAGACAAAGTGTGAGAAGCTACATCAGTGGACAGTATCACCTAACCATTGCTGGACCATGTAGCCAGCACCTTGTGTTGGGAATTGGTCAGAACTTACGATTTAAAAAGCAATCAATGATCAATTAATCATGGCAAGGATCGATCATGAACATGATGAATGTGAACAGAAAAGTCATACATTAAGAGCATTCTTTTTAGTCTTATTCATGTAAAACATAAACAGAATAGAACTACTAATGGTATTTTACTATATAACCATAAACCATCTACTAGGAAACACCAGAACAGGCTTGAAACCTTGTCTGTCATCAAACTATTCCGATAGGAGATCACCAAAAGATACACAGACAAATATTTTATGTCCTTTAGCAAGATTAGGAATAAGATTTACAAAATTTCAACTTTCTTTCGTTGTGTCGATGAAATAGAACGATAGACAAGCTTAAAAGCCAGGTGATAAGCAATCATATTATTTTGTATCATTCACACAATTTCCCGAACCACGACCTGCTTCACATGCAGTGTAGACCTTCACACATACAGCTGTACAGATCCATGACAGGACAAAGCTTAGCTACTTCAGGTACTTGACCTAGTGTTGCCTTCATTAGCATAAATCAATTGTACCAAGGGTTACCTGATGTTATTGGCATACACAGGTTTCATATACAGGTCACAGGGATGAAGTATCAGTCTGTGACATTAACAACCAGTCTAGCCCAAGTCCAGTAAAATCTTGTATCGGAAAGCTGAACTTCTGACAACCCATCAGGGATTTATCTAGACCTGCACTGAGCCCACTATTCACCTCTAGTATAGTCTGCAGCAAGTGTCATCAAAAAGTATTTTGAATTACCCAGTTCATGTTAATATATATTTATAACTAATTGTATGGCTTTGTAGAGTGAGTGAGTGAGTGAGTGAGTGAGTGAGTGAGTGAGTGAGTTGGGTTTAAGGCCACTTTTAACAGTATTCCAGTTATATCACGGCGTGTCAGCTTAATGTGGGAGCATATTCCAGCAACACTAGTAATGAGCTTCACACATTGTATCCATGTCGGCCTTTATAGAGAAAACCTGTATTTCACTGATCACATTACCAGCAAATAGGAACATGTTTTAATCCTCACTTTTATGTTATTGCATCATATACAATCTCCTCAAATTAATTAAATCTCTCAATTTAAGAATATAAGCACTTTAAAAATCATAATTTTGAACAAAATAATTATTTTTACCCAATTTGCGAGACAGGGGCTAGAGTTCTGGATAAATCCCTCATCTATACCATGTATATATGAAGAGTAAAATTTGAAATAATGTGAATGGAGGAGTTCGGGCCAGTCGACTCAAAAGACAGCTGCATGTTCTGTGTTTGTTCTTTAACAATGCACTCTGCAATATTCCAGCTGTATGACAAGGGTGTGTTACAAGTGAGTAAGGACCAGACAATCCAGTGATTGATATTATGAGCAACGATCCATGCAATCAATCAAGTCACTGATCTTAACTGCATGGAGTAATGGGAAAGAGACCGCTGACTGATTGTAAAAATGTTCTAATAATTCTGATAAGAAATGTTATTTTCTTTGTGAGCAAGATCATTGCATATCTAATTACACAGAAACTGTTGACACTTCTGCTTGGTGGAACCATTGTCCTTGAGATACATCTAATTTCCCTAGACTGGTAACAGTGGAAATTAAAGAAACACACATCTCCAATGTGTGGTTATATGTGCATTATTTTCAGACAGGCAAAATGAAAGAACATATTTCATATTGGTTAGATTCTCTTATAACAGCGTCAGTATTGACACCAGTCCTTGCGAAACTGCCCAATAGTTAAGGTATTATGCGGATAAGTAGAAATTTGCCATTTTTAAGGGTTTTGCTATATGTTATCATTATGCTAGTAGAGTAAAAGTGTTCGTTTCTACCGCTGCTATAATGTAAAATAGCAAGGAGACTAGAGAATTAATTCATTTTCAGAAACCCTGAAAATGAATTCATCTACCGGTACACTTGCCAAAGTATAAAAAACTTGCCTGTGAATTTTCGGATATATTTGTTTCCGATGCCGATTTATAGTGCCAGCCCACTGAGATACCATGCGGCAGTTTAACATGAATACCCCACTCAGACACAGTATACTGACTCCGAGTCGACGAGTCCTTGTTTTAGCCCCTTAATGCCGAGCGCCAGACAGGGTAACTAGAAGCACCATCTATTAACGTCTTTTAGTACAACGTGGCTGGGGTTTCGAACCCCGGACCTTCTGCTCTCCGGGCAGACGCTCTACCTCTAGACCACGGAGGCAGTCTAGATTCTATAGACATGTGGCAAAATGAAGAGTATCAGTGACAAAACTTCAAGTGACTAAAATACCCTCTCAAAGGTAAAGCATGGAAGCCTAAGGACTATTTCACTGGACAAATTTAGTGTAGCGGAGGGTCAGTTCATAATGAAGATCATGATCTACATAATGTCAATTCTACAACAGTCAATAGCTTTTTCAACAATTGATATGAATATACTACCAAAATAATTTTCTTACACTAAACAAAGGACCAATTCTGCAGTCGGAACACATGTTTTTGTTATATGATAAATCAATATTTGTTTCAGTATTATTTATAACATAAATACCATTCCTGCTCATCCAGAAATTCCATAATTCAAGTACCGTATTCGACTTAATAAGCGGCCAGGGCGCTCTCAAAATTAGAAACAGGGGGCTCTTATTAGAATATTTTTTTGGTGAAAAAAACAGAGTTGAAAGATAAATTTGTGGTTTATGATGACAGCTGGAAATGTTTATATACGACAGATGTATTTTTCAAGAATGTAACTGCCCATAATTAAGGGTGCATGTAACACACGAGTTTATTATACTCGAATAAATAAGTCTTATGTACATTGATCAATCGGAAGGGGTGCTAATTGAGATTGTTCACTAGCCAATATATAAGCAAATATCGCCGTGGGCGCTTATTACGTCGAATACGGTAGATCTAATGAAAAACCCTTGAGCATGTTTGAGTGAGGAAGGGAATATTTGTTTTACAGTATTACAGCCATATCACCATGAATGGTGAAAACTGAGTGAGCCTGGCACACTATTTGTTGATATAGCGTAAGCAATTATCTACAATGTAGGAGTACTATGACACATTAACCATCCAGGTTAAACACTGTGACATCCTCATCATTCATGACACACGTGGGATACTGCTGGGGTTATCCATGATTCTAAACTAAGTGACCTTGGCAGGCAAATTAGGATGTGATTTTGTTCAAATTTGGGATTTTTTCAGTTATTATAACATTGCATACAAGCCCCTTCATCCTTTTCGGTTCTATCATCAGTGAAATACAAGCCACCTCGACAAAGTCATCACACTAGTTACATATATATTTAAAGCTTCATTTACATGACAAACATGAAAAAATATTTAATTCCCATTTGGGAATCTATACTGACAATTTCTGCAGAAATGTTTCTCTGTTCAAAATTATTTTTTTAAACATGTTAAGGTTCTTATTTCTTAAATTCAGATGTATTTCAACATTGTATTACATTTAATGCAATAATAAAAAACGAAGCATTAAAACCTATTTCTCTTAATCCTGTCATCAGAAAAATAAAAGTTAGTGTACCTGTACAGCCCAAAATTAGTTACCGTATTCGACGTAATAAGCGCCCAGGGCGCTCTCAAAATTAGAAATAGGGGGCTCTTATTAGAATATTATTTTGGTGGAAAAAAGAGAGTTGAAAGATACATTTCGTGGTTTATGCTGACACACTGAAATGTTTACATGCGACAGATACATTTTTCCAGAATTGAATTGCCCATAATTAAGAATGCATATTACACACGAGTGCGTATTATACGCGAATAAATAAGTCTTGTGAACATTGATCAATCGGAAGGAGTGCTAATTGGGATTGTTCACTAGCCAATATATTAGCAAATATCACCGTGGGCGCTTATTAGAGCTGGGCGCTTATTACGTCGAATACGGTATTTGTCATAATCATAACCATGAATTGGGAATATGTACTGACATTTGCTGCCTACTTGGGGCTGAATATCGGTGTCAGCAGGTCCCGATAAATCCCTGTACTGGGACCATTCTGCCCTGGTATTCCCACAAGGGATTAGTACAGAGTAGACAGTCAGGGAAGCAACATGACCGGAAATGTTTACTAGCCTGGACAGTGACAACACATGGGCACCAGCGAAAAGGCCGGAATTTCTACGAGCACTCAGGACAACTTGCATCAGACAAACTGACTCTGGCTAGAGATACAGGGTGCTTTTGCATCCCTAGACATGGAAGGATCTATGTCCTTGTCAACAGGGTAACCAGGGGTAGAAACTAACATTTTAGTCCCACTAGTCCTTATAATGATAACATAGCAAAACCCTTAAAAATTGCAAATTTCTACTAGTCCTTAGGATACCTTAACTATTGGGCAGTTTGGCAAGTACTATAGGACTAGTGCCAATTTCTGACACTGGGTAATAGAACCATTATTTACCTAACAATATTACAGTCAGCCTACAACTTCAACAGTTTTGACCACAGTTTTGTAATATATGCAGATCAATTACAGGTAGAAATTACGTTTTCTTCAATACAAAATGACATTTATCATTCTGACATCAAGTACATACCAAGTCAGTAAGTGAATGAGTTGAAATGGTGGGACAGTTTCAACCCATAGGAATCTTAAAACACTGAATCAATTGATCAAAAGTGATTTTTTGGTATTATGGTCTAAGATTCTGACACTTAAAATCAGGCCAGTGACTGATTAAAATGCCTCTGACAATCCATGAGGTGAGGTGGTATATAATGCCATATCACCTTCAAGATCATTTCCCTCATATAGCAATTGTGTGTGCATACTTGTACTAGTCTGGACTTTATAGTGCTAGCCACCAAGATACAATGCTGTAGTTTAGCAAGGATATCCCACTCAGAAACATTGACATTGCGAGGGGATCGAACCACCCAACTTCCTCTCTCCAGGCAGACGTACTATCCACTATATCACTGTGATTAAAAACACCATCAACTCCTGAAAATAGTTGTGACCCGACTGTATCCTGTACGACATATTTCTGACAGAGGTGGGACACTCATCTCTAGTGCATGCTTTGTTCTTGCAGGACATACTTGATGGGGATAAGTAGATGGTGACTCAGTCAAGGACTCAGTTTCATAAATATAGCTGACAAGTCTTCTTGGCCGAAATAGATTCCGGATCCGTCAACATAGTTGTATTCACATCCAAAATTGTATAAATATTCCACTTCCTGATAGACAATAGATTCAAGTGAATATTTCCTGTTCACAACTTGGAGCATTCGAACTACAAAGATGCACTCAAATCCAAGGTCACATGTTCCACGTAAACCCCTGATGTGAGGGAGTGAATATTGCGTTACGCAACATCAGTAAGTTGGGTGAGTGAGTATTGCTTTACGCCACATCAGCAATCAGGCAGAAATTGGCAGTGACATCAAATTGGAACGTTTTTGATATTTGGAAAACCAAAATATGGAAATATAGAAAAGCCTGTTCTAACCAACCAGAAGGACAATTCTATATATTTAGGACAGTTTTTATGATTTTTCTGCTAGATCGCTCTACATATTTGGGGCCAACATGTAACAGAGTGAGTGAGTGAGTACACTGCCATGGGCAGTATTTACGTCTTATCAGCTGAACACCTTGGTGGAACCCACGAACATGTATATAGAGCTGACAAACCGATAATCATTTTCAGGGTAAAATCTGGGGTTTGTATCCGGTACTACAAGGGGACACAACTCTGACTTCAGCATGGGCCCTGGAATCAGGTTTTATATCACTTTTAGCACTATTCCAGCCTTATTACTGTGGAAGACACCAGGATGGACTTCATACCTGGACCTGCCTAACCCACCTGACCCTGCACTCCTAAATAATTGGGGTTGTGGTGAGGGTGGGGGAAGGTGTGGTAAAATCATATATAAATGATCGAACATGATAAATGATCAGAAGTACTCACCGCCACTTGCGTATTCCATGACAAGATAGAGTGTCTTTTCTGTCTCTATCACCTCAAATAGTTTTACTGAAACAAAAATACATCAGACCTTGAATCCCTTGTTAAAGACCAATATAGATGTACTTGACCACGTCTTAAACCACATAATATTATGAAATGTCAAACATCCTATGCGTTGCCTTATTGCCATTCATACAAAATATCACAACGCATGCGAGTATTGACTGTGCCCTTATATGAAACACCTATGGATTTTCTATAAATAAACAATTCAAATTTCCAATAGGATTAAGTAATTATATACAAAGCCTACATTATTACATTAATTCTGGCAGTCAAATTAGTCAAGCCCTCTACATCTGTGAAGTCAGACTATGATGTCAATCTTGCCAATTTGCCTGACAATTGAATCTGTCGTGTCTTGTCGTGCCGGGAAATCAATACTCAGTCACATCTGCACTGCTGATGTCACGTACAAGGATAACACAGAAACCTATGTCGAACAGTGACAGGCAGGCAAAATTACCCAAATTATCATTTTCATGACACAATTCGAATCGATAACTAGCACAAAGGATCACCCGGTACATTTAAGCCTTGTTAGTCTCGACCCTAGTTAATCTGGAAACCCCACCTTATGGATAATCTTGTTGAGAAATCATTAACACAAAGGATATCACTCCTTTTCGTTAATACAGACAATTTCCTTGGAACATCATCCCAATTAAGGAGGTGACGTTCTGGATATAGCAGACTTTATCCACTAGTCTGAAAAAACGTCAGTTAGGTGAAAGAAACTCAGCTAATGATAGTCAATATGACAAACACTAAAATCTACTAAAAATAATGCTACGAACCATGTTTGGGCTAGAAGACTCAAAAGTCTTTAGCACAGACTGATATAGAGTGATAGTTATGGTCACAATCTTGCACAACTTGAAATGTTAGTGGATATCTTAGCAGTTGAGAAAATGATGCTGTTACAAGTCTCTTAATTGCTCTTGTAATTTCAGTTGGCTGTGTAATTTGGGTACCCCTACAGAATACTGGACACCCATCCACCATGTTTGTTTGCTGCATCTAATATAGCATCATGCTACAGAGTGACTATTTTCTAAACGAAGGTCAAAACAAGCAGAAAAAATACTCTGCTTACATTTTTTTGGTTTAATATGATTAAATCTCAAAATTGAATATCAAGCAATTCAAAACATAAAAAATTAGACATCAACATGGAAAGACTACTCGAAAATAGAAAATCCATAATGGTGAACGACAACCTCATCAGTGATATCAAACAAGTCCAACAAACACATATTTCTCATTAACTTTGGAAACTAAAAATAATATTTACTTACACAAGCATTTGTTTCAAGTCATTGTGTGGGGGGGGCAAGCCCATCAAAATCCTGTTATCTTAGCAAGGTGGATAAAAATGGAGGCGAAAAACATTAAAAAAACGTTAGTAAGAAGGGAGCTTGTGCAATAACAATTTGGCAGAAGGTATCTGGTATTCTGTATTCCAGGCGTACTTTGGTCTGGTTTATATGGGAGTTACAACGGCATGGAAATCCTTAACAGGATGAGGAGGCATTGTAAAGGAATCTAAGGACAGAAAAATAAATATGCTCCATCACACACGCTCACGAAGACCTTCAGTCCTGGTGAGCTAAAACAATGAAAGAGGAGCAAAGAGGAGAGTAAAATATTGTAAGTAGAAGCAAAGGTTCTCTATGAATATATACTGGCACTAGGAAGGATCTACAACATGAACTTTACCTATATCTGGATGATCAAGCACCTTCATTATCCTAACTTCTCGAAAGAGCTGAAATGTGGAAATTAAAACACATTAAAGGTTGAACAAATAAAGACCATTTACCTATATTTGGGTGATCAAGCCACTTCATTATCCGAACTTCTCGAAAGAGCTGAAATACAAGTAGAATCTTTTCAGTTGACAAAATCTCCACAATAGTATCGGATAATCAAACTGTCGATTCCTCCACCAGCCTTTTTTTTCTCCTTTGATGTGCATTTGCTTGATCAGCAACAGTAACAAGATCAATTGTACCACAAAGTAATATTCAGCTCCACAGAACCAAAAGCTTAATGAGCTGCTCATAATTTCTGTGTCAGCTTCAGCAGTTGAATGTTCAGACCTGATGCTTCATCCATTCTTAAGGGGATATTGGGATTGCCCTTGACCTTTAGAAGCAAATATGTGGGATTTTCACATGAGAATTTGCTGTGATTGTCAGAGAAAGAAATAACAATCTAAGTATAGTTAAGCAAGAACAATTTCAAAGCTGGCCGAGAATTTGTGTGTTAGAGAGGTAAAGAGATATACACTAGACCAGTCATCAGTCTAAGAATATAATCTTTCTTCATTAGGGTGAGTGAGTTATGGAAGATAAAAAGAAAGAAATGTCTTGTATGTTTGTTTACATTTGCAGAAAAGCCAGCAAGTTTATTGCTGTAAGTAATACAAGACAGGGCATGTCCCGGCATGGAGTCTTCAGGGGAAGGGGTGGGGAGTCAAACCGACACACATTCCGATACGAGGTCGCATCATTAAAATCATACAGCATGGACTAGCGCCTAGTGGGCACAACATCAAGGGATGCTGATGGTTGCTATGACAGCTGTGACCGTCACTTCATTCCAGCCAGATAATCATGTTGTAATTATGGCCGGTATCACTAGTGGAACTAAGGCGTAATATTTCAGTACTGTTCATTTGAACGGCCAGATCATAGGATAACAAAGCCCTTGCATCAGAAGCTGTTACATGTTGTGCAGAAATATACAGAAATTCCAAAAGAATCCTGCAGCAACATGTCAGAATTGTTAACATAATAATAAAGAGGTGATGTGAAATGGGGTTTAATGTGACGTCCAAGACTATTGCACTTATATCAGCGGTCAAAATTAACAGTTTTAGTCCACTAGTCCTTATAATGGTAACATATAGCAAAGCCCGTAAAAATGGCAAATTTCTACAAGTCCTTATGATACCTTAACTATTGGGCAGTCTGGCAAGGACAACAAGGTGTGTGTGTGTGTGTGTGTGTGTGTGTGTGTGTGTGTGTGTGTGTGTGTGTGTGTGTGTGTGTGTGTGTGTGTGTGTGTGTGTGTGAGAGAGAGAGAGAGAGAGAGAAAGAGAGAGAGAGAGAGAGAGAGAGAGAGAGAGAGAGTCTGGACTGATGCGATTCATAATGCTAGCCCACTGAGATACCATGCCGTAGTTTAACATGAATACCCCACTCAAGACACAGTATACTGACTCCAAGCTGACCAGTCTTTGTTTTAGCTCCTTAATGCCGAGCGCCAGACAAGGTAACAACAAGTACCATCTTTTAACGTCTAGACCACGGGGCGGACGCTCTACCACTAGACCACGGGACGGACGCTCTACCACTAGACCACGGGGCGGACGTTCTACCACTAGACCATGGGGCGGAAGCTCTACCACTAGACCACGGGACGGACGCTCTACCACTAGACCACGGGACAGACGCTCTACCACTAGACCACGGGAGACACTAACAAAAGAATCCAACCATGGAAACTGGTCCGTAACTCAACAACTGGTCATTAATGATTCAGGCTAGAAAACTAAGCTTATACCCAAAGCAATGCAAATATAGTCAAATATTATAGATACATCTGTATCTTTAGTCTTCAGCCACCCATGCTTGTTGTAAGAAGCAACAAACACTACCAGGTGATCACTTAACGACATGGTTGATATATATATGTCATTGTATCCTAACTTCATAGATAATTGCTCATGTCAAACACTGGATTGCCTGGTCAAGACTTAATTATTAACAGATTACAGTCATAGCTGTGATATTGATAAGTGCAGCATTAAACAATAACAGATAGCTCTGGAATTCCAGATGTCCCACTGGTGTACAATAAATAATGCATGTGTGCATTAAACTGCATGTCTGCATAATGCTGTTGAATAATCGATGTTTGTAATACAGAGAGGTGATGCCCATTGATCGATTGCATGCTGTTGGTCTGTCTGAATGGTCTCTTGGTAGGACGAACTACCGCCATAAATATATCACTGGTTCTACTACTCAAGAATGCTTTCTCAAATAAGGTGTAAAATGTTACAGATGAGTCAGCAGTCATGAAAAAAGGTAAATGTTATATTATGTTAATATCTTTTTGTGTTTTGGCATCTTATCTCTCAGGACACCTCCATCATGTCCATGTCGACCACTAAAAAGAAAATAGTTCCATACATACAACCGAAAAGAAGTTAAAGAACACCCTATTCTTTGTAATTAGTAAAGTTAATCTGTCATGCCATGAAAGGTAAGCATGGCAGCCTACACTACCCACAGGTAAGCATAGCAGCCTACATTACCCACAGGTAAGCATGGCAGCCTACATTACCCACAGGTAAACATGGCAGCCTACACTTACCCACTGGTAAGCATGGCAGCCTACATTACCCACAGGTAAACATGGCAGCCTACACTACCCACAGGTAAGCATGGCAGCCTACACTACCCACAGGTAAACATGGCAGCCTACACTACCCACAGGTAAACATGGCAGCCTACACTACCCACAGGTAAACATGGCAGCCTACACTTACCCACAGGTAAGCATGGCAGCCTACACTACCCACAGGTAAGCATGGCAGCCTACACTACCCACAGGTAAACATGGCAGCCTACACATTTAAGCATGGCAGCCTACACTATCCACATTTAGCATGGCAGCCTTATGCACGTGGAAGAGACACCTTAGTGTGAGTGTTGATGTTATTATCTGATCAGTTATCAATTTCCAACCAATACCTGTGGCCATCAACAGATAATCACAAGGACTCAGCAGTCACAGTGTTATCAGCGTAGTGCAAGCAATGGCATGAGCAGATGCTATTAATTGTATTGATCCATCACAATATCCATAAGCCTTGCCATGTACATACGTAAATGTCCTTGAGATTACTCATACAAGGAGATGACAAGAAAATGTGTACAACATAGATAAGGGCAACATTATAAATCATTATCAGCATGATCAGTTTGGATTTGTAATTAATTCTGGCCCTTGCAGCATCCATGACACCCAAATGTTCATTATTTCATAATGTTGAAAATCAGGACTATTTTGCAATACCACGGATGTTTTGATGTTGACCTCCGAACATTGCCAAACCACTTAAAGATAGAGTATCTGGTGTGAAAAGATTTCAGCTGATCAAGTGCCTCCATCAAGTTAACACGGAAGGCGACAGCTCCCTATCAGGGTGTAGCTAGCTACCACCTGGACCGGTGATAACAGTGAACTTTGAATTATCACCAGGCGTGGTGAGACAGCAAAACCGACAGTACTAATACTATGCAACAAAACTGGATTCATCCCACTGATCGAACTTTTGACACCGAGTACTCAAACTTATTTTAACATGATAGCAAAAATTCTCTCAGTCTTCTGGGGAAAAAAGTAAAATATCATTTATCTGTGAAAATGAATGGACAGTGACCTTGACATGAACAAATGAAGGTATTTAAGTTCACAATATGGACAGCATGACCTTAGGAATGGCAAATGTCAGTCAATGTCTACTCAAAAACATCTAGCTGCTACATTAACTAATACCACAGATTAGAAAAGTGATTGCATGCCTTGCCCTCTTAATCAATGGTGGAAAAGCCTTCCTGAATGCCTGATGCTCTCTGATTGAGTTGGGTTTAACGCTGCATTGAACAGTGTTTCATTCAAGTCATGAGGAAAGAAAAGCCCCAAGCAATCCAGCTTGCTGACAATCACTATGAAGGTGAAACCCACGAGCTGGGAATGGTGCAGAAAAACCAAGAATCATAATCAGAGGAAAAATGGGAATCGAACCCATGATCATCAGATTCTGATAATCTCTTGTTAAACTATTTCATTCCTTCAGATGTCACGAGTGGATAAATCTAGATAATGTGAACAACTTGAGTACGACCTTGTGAGTGAAGGAGTTAATATTTGGAATCACATCAGCACTATTACAGCCATATCGTGACTTGAAAATAACCTGAGATATTTATCCTAACTGTCTCCTCTTGAATTACACTGACCTGTTACTGGCATGACATGACAAGATGCTCTAAACCTGTAATCAATAATCCATTAATATAACCATTTACTGAGGTCAACCTCTTCCAAAGACCAAGAACAAGGCCAAGTGTTCAAACAGGCAGAGCACGAACAACTTTCAAGGCATTCTTCTGGTTATTATTCCCATAATGAGACCTTGTCCTTTCAATATCATAACAAAAAGACAAAAGTAATAATAGGCTAAGATTTCCCTGGGGTCCTGCAATAGAGAGACATCATATCCTTGGGGTAAGTTAAATGTTGCCATATTTCGCATATGATCCTCTGAACAAATATTGTCATAAGTTGAACACTAATCATACAAAAAAGTACCAATTATAACAAACTTATCAAATCACAAACATGCAAAATGCTTCCAAACATGTATAGAACAGCTAAACTGGAACACCAAGAACACCGAGGTCATTCATAATGTCAGTTCAAGGACTGAATTTCAATTCACCTCCATGCTTATGGACAAAAGTTATTTTTTCAGTACAAATGAGTTATCAAATGAGTGACACATAGAATGACCTCGACATCATTAGTGTCAAAATACCCCCGAGGACATTAAGGAGGACGGTGAATATATCAATTAACTATTAGTGGTATCACAAACAAAAGGCAGCAATTGGCAAATCCTACCCAAAACCTTCAAGCAGCCCTTTCTTATGGCCAGCCAATCCCATCTCTCTATCATGTATCAACTAAATACCAATCATTTCATATTTGTTTGTTTGGGTTTTGTTGTTGTTGAATGCCGCACTCAGCTATATCGGTGGTCTGGAAATAAGTCTGGACCAGACAATCCAGTGATTGACATAGTGAGCATAAATTAACACAATTCGGATATGATGACATGCAACAACCAAGTCAGAGAGCCTGACCACCCGATCCTGTCAGTTGCCTCTTACGACAAGCACAGTCGCTTATTACAGCAGGCATGGGTTGCTGGAGACCTATTCTACCCCGGATCTTCATGAGGGCATCTAGTGCACAATGTAGTATTTCAAACATTTGGGAAATGTTTTAGACATCCTGCAGAAGGTGAGTTGGGTTAACCCCGCTTTGAATGGTACTCCAGTTATGTCACAACGTGTCGGCTTGATGTGGGAAGAAAGCCCAAAGTGATGCAGGTCTTAGAGGTTTCTCACTTTGGTAAAACACAAGAGCATTTGTATGGTGTTGAAAACCCCAGAAACAATCATGGTAATCTTGGATTCGAACCCACGATCATAGATTTCTGGCGTGTAAATGAGAAGTGCTCTGCACAGCAAATTACCTCAACTTGGACAAAAGGCTTGGCAGTCTATTGTATAGATGTTACAAAGGAAGTACTTCTGATACAAGAACAAACATGACTTCTGAATTAACTGATGTACATGCTTAATGCTGGTGAATGCTCTGGTTACAAAACTCCATGTCAGAATGAGTTTATAACAAAGGTGGCTTGTCATAACCCCCGATTCTTTAGCTTTTGAAACTTTTCTTTTTCAAGCAAGTCTTTTGACAACATCCCAGCTGTGTCATTGCCTGTGAACAATTGAAAGTGGACCAGATAAACCAATGATTGATATTATGAGCAACATCCCATGACATCATGAAAGTCACAGAGTCGGACCACTCAATCCAATTTAGTTGCCGCTTGCCTCCAGCAATATTTGTATCTTGCCAGGGACATACTCTGACCTGGGTTAACAAGTGTTTGCCAGTTGGGCTTATCAAACGGTTGAATAAAGTAAATGTACATTAACATATTTTTAAGCTGCTGATCCCAGCTGACACATTGATAAATCATGTGTGTAACGAGCAAAAAAACAACCCAGATCCTCATTCATCATACATTTATAAATATACCTGAACAGAAAAACAAACGCCATAAATAATATCTTCATTATTGAAGCACACTAAAGTTTCTCACCTTCTGAAGACTTGATGGATTTAACTGTGTCTTGTCAATTATTTTTATTGCAACCTGCAAAAAAGACAAAAACAAATGTGAACATACAAGATAAAATACAGTGCACGAACAAAGAAGAACGATACGTCAGCTTAATTTCATGTCAATGTTCTAAAACAGGAGAGTGCCACATGAGAATTTGTTGTTTTCTTCTTCCATTGTTTCAAGAATCAAAGAGCATGGAGGTTCCGCAGCTCACCTGATAGGTCATGAATGTTTGCAATATCACAGAGGAGAGTTCGACACTAACACTGGTCCGCTGGTCAGATTCAGAGTCTAGCATGTATTCTTAAGGGCCAGTAAAATTAAATCAATGGTGGTCCACCCATCTAGTGTTAGTTTGGGACGAGTAATTGAAGATTGTGTGACTTATGGTATAAGCGATACTGCCATTTGGATCACATTGAGCTTGTAGAATTAGAATGAAATAATACCATTTTAAACCTTTTGTGGTCAGCACCATTGTGTCTAAGAGATCAAACAGGACCACTCGATTTTTCTACGAACTATACAAAGTCATTGTGTTACAAACCACTGACTGCACAGTTTCACAATAAAGGCAGAAATGGGCCAAAGTGGGGATTTTTCAATATGGCAACCATGGTTGCTACGTTCAACATTGAATCAGAATTCTCAAAGTACCTACAGGATACAACAGACACCAGCAGGAATTATCCATGCAGTTTCATCATTATCATGATTATGTTTTCGCAGAAGTTACTGAATACTTATGCCTAAAATTATTTTCATTGAAACAAACCAACAAACCAAGTAAGCTGTATGTGAAAAATGTAATGTCAATATCTATCATTCTTGGTCACCCAAACCTAAGTACACCTACAAATATGAAATATATTTGTTACCATGGTTACAAGTTGTAGTGACAATTACAAATTGACATGCAATCTCATTCAACAATGACAAGACTGATTAGTTTATATAAGATTATGGTCACCTACATTCAAGAAATTAAAATGAATATGTTAATACACTTATCAAGTCTGCTTGCAAATGACATAAATATATGACACCGAGAAAAACGTCGGAAAGCACTTATATGATGCAATTAATTCAGATGATTTGGGGGATTCAAATTTCATTTAACTAAATGTTTCAATCTAGTGTTTTTACATCGTCTGTTTATTTTCAGGTCAGTATTTAAAGTTTGCTGTGGTTTTGTTTACAAATTCAGTGTTCTGGTTTATCGGTAATTACCAGTTTTTTAACGGTAAAATTAGGATTGGACCAGAAATTCATGTAACTGCCAGTCCCTGTGGACTGGCAAATAGAGTACCTTATAAATCTTTGTTGAACAAAACATTGACGATATTCATAAGCATATTTTATGAATGAAGTCAGCTTGTCTGTTACCATCAGGGTTTCCCCTTGTCTATTTCAGTGGAAGGAAATAAAATTTCACTTTTCTTTGAGTATAAATATATATATTTGAAGCAACCTAGTCTCGAACTATTAAAACAAAAAGGAGAAAAGTGTGACTGAAACATGGTTTGAATGACATGGGGATCTAACAGAGTTACTTCAGGGATGACATCATTGCACTGAACATGAGGTGAGGTGAAATTGGGTTTAACATCGCGTCCAAGATTATTGCACTTATATAGCGACGTGCATGCACGTGTATGTGTGTGTGTGGCTGCTTGTACTAGTCCGGACTGATGCCGATTTATAGTGCTAGCTCACTGAGATACCATGCCGCAGTTTAACATGAATACCCCACTCAGACACAGTATACTGACTCCGAGCCGACCAGTCCTTGTTTTAGCCCCTTAATGCTGAGCGCCAGACAGGGTAACAACAAGTACCATCTTTTAACGTCTTTTGGTATGACGCGGCCCGGGATCGAACCCTGGACCTTCCGCTCTCCGGGCGGACGCTCTACCACAAGACCACGGAGGCGGTCGCACTGAACATGATGTTGAAGGAATTAAAACCAGGTAATTTTTTATTTGTTGAAAGTCCGGACTGACAAAAATTAGGGTAGACTGGTCGTTTTCAGAGTTTTCAGAGCCAACAGGAACACTGAAATTTGGACCATGAATTTCTCAAAAAGGAGAGTTGATTAAGTAGACGTTAAACGTTAATGATTGTTTACATACCATCATAATATAACCGTAAAAAGATATTTGATATGTTACATACTTCAGGAATTCATTCAGTTTATCTGTGTAATTGTTCAACATGTTCATAGGCTATTGAAATACAACAGGGTGTTACAGGGTAAAGGGTGATTACAGAAATGCGGATATAGTGCATCTTGAAAGACTACCTTAAGCCGTGAAATATGATCATAAATTGCATACACCATGTGGAACCCATTAATGAAGCATTTGATTACAAATTAAACCAGCATTACAGCTGCAGAGTACAGCATAATGAGAATCACACTTTGACCTTTCCAATACATGCCAGGGTGTAACGGTTCTCCAGATATGTGCAGCGAAGATAGCTCAACGCTCAACTCAACTTGCCAAAATGCTCAGCCTACGCAAACATCTGTGGTCAACGGCTGGGTGTGGACAAGTGCAATCATTGCACCATCGTTTGGAAAATTTCAACACTATGTGTGAATGGCTTTGAATTTATTTTGTTTGTACTTGAAATGACACTGTAGCTCATTGTACAGCTAAAAGTCCAGATGTGACATTCATTTTCACTTCCAGTGAAATGTAAGCAAATGTAGCTTGGTTGGTGTGAAACAAAAGAATGTATACTACTCAAAAGAAGTTAAGGATCACCTGATTCTTTCATATTACAATAGTTAATCTCCCATGCCATGACAGATTAACATTACCAATATGAAAGAATCGGGTGATCCTTAACTTCTTTTGAGTAGGATATCTGTAGACCCAAAACATCAGGACTTAAATAGCAAATGAGAGATGTTATATAAATATCCAAAATATGGCAATTTCATTTTTTGAAAAGGACAATTAAGTCATTCTTCAGAAGCCATCTCTGGTCATTCATCATTCATGGGAAGAGATCAGAAAGGTTCTAAATCAGGCACTTAATGTCATAGGTTCTATAATTTGCTGATTCAATATACATGACGTGCATTTCAGTGAGAGACTGAGTTGTGTGGCGAAAATCATCTGTGGAAAGTTTAAAGTGCCTAGTAGGATGGGGTGCCTAGTGGAAGGGGTGCCTAGTAGGATGGTGTACCTAGTGGGAAGGGGTGCCTAGTAGGATGGGACGCCTAGTGGGAAGGGGTGCCTTGAAGGATGGGGTGCCTAGAAGGATGGTGTACCTAGTAGGAAGGGGTCCCTAGTAGGATGGTGTACCTAGTAGGATGGGGTGCCTTGTAGGAACAGGTACCCAGTAGGATGGGGTGCCTAGAAGGATGGTGTACCTAGTAGGAAGGGGTACCCAGTAGGATGGGGTGCCTAGAAGGATGGGATGCCTAGAAGGATGGCCTAACAGAGTATGATGCAGTGTTAGAAATTAGCACTAGTCCTATAGTCCTTGCCAAACTGCCCAAGAGTTAAGGTATCACAAGGACCAGTAGAAATTTGCCATTTTTAAGGGGTTTGCTATTTTATCATTATAAGGACCAGTAGACGCTGTGATGGTGTACCAAGTAGGATGGGGTGCCTAGTAGGATGGTGTACCAAAAAAGATCGGGTGCTGAGTTGGGTGTACCGAGTATGATGGTGTACCAAGAAGGGTGGCAGATAAACAAGTGATTGATATTATGAGCAGCATCCCATGCCATTTGGGTACGATGACACACAATCAAGTCACCAAGCTCGACCCATGCATATGTTGAAGGGGGCCTGTTCTACCTCGGAATCCCAATAGAGTTTACCTGGTGTTGATTTGACACAGGGAAATGAAACACCTATAAATGAGATGGGTGCTAACAGTGTCTATAATGGTATTAATCATAAACAATGATCGATCAGAGGCAACAACTCAAAGCTTGTTAACAAAATCCCAAGCAAAGCCCAACACAACTTTAACAAAATCACTGAGGAAAAGCTCAGTTTTGTTCTTCCCACAATACAATTGTTTGTTTGTTTGCTGTTTAATGCAGCATAGCAATATTCCAGCTATATGACGGAGGTCTGTAAATAATCAAGTCGAGACCAGACAATCCAGTGGTTGACATCATGATCATTGATCCATGCAATTGGGATACGATGACGTATCGTCCAAGTCAGCAAACTTGACCACCCGATCCCGTTGGTCGCCTCTTACGACAAGCATGGGTTGCTGAAGATCTATTTCACCCCGGATCTTCACAGGTCCACAATACAAGGTGTGTGAGTGTGTGAGAATTGTCATAGGCAGTGTGTAATTGAGTTTTGACCAGACAAACCAAAGGCTAGTTTGATCTATTCTTTGGTATGATGGTGATGACATAGTCAGGTCATGTACGCTGTGACTGCACAATCACCATGTCAGACACCATGTCAGACAGCTAGCCAGTATCAGAACAAGCAGCGTTTCTCTACCAAGTCAGACATGTTGAAATATTTGTCTGGTCCAGGAAAGAGAAATATTTGTCTGGTCCAGGAAAGAGAAAATCTCACCATCTAAATCTACAGGGCTGGCTGAGAGAAACAGGACACAAGCCATTGTGTCTTGTATCATGGTAAAGAATACCATCTACTTGCCACAAGTTCCATTGACACAAGCCCAATGAGTACTGAATATCCATTGCTAGATCTATGTATATATGGTATGATGCATGTGTTGGGCTTTGTTGAAAGTGTATTATATTATTGATACATATTATTCTCCGATTGGATTTCAAAAGATGGGAGGGGCAGTGGTATAGCCTAGTGGTTAAAGCGTTGCTCGTCACGCCAAAGACCTGGGTTTGATTCCTCACATGTGTACAATGTGTGAAGCCCATTTCTGACATTCCTCGCCATGATATTGCTGGAATTATTGCTAAAAGTGACGTAAAACCACTCACTGAAAAGATGGGAAGAGATGCTACTAGTCAATATATATTTACTCGACAGATCTCACCCGTGAGTAATCAAAGTTTTTTCATATGCGATATGTTATCATTATATGGAGTAGTGGAGTGAAACTGTTACTTTCTTATGCTGTAGACGGAAGCAACTAATCGTCATGTACAAATCTGGATGTTTTGGAGGGGAGAATGTTACCGAATGATGCTGCCATAATCCAACTATACAATGGCAGCCTATAAATAATCAGTCTTGACCAGGCAAACCCATGACTGAAGGCATATGCAATTATTTCCACAACACTAGGGAATGATGACACTAAATCAACCTTGTCACAGAGCCTGATTTATGCTAACTTTTAGATGAAGCTTATGTTACTAAGCTTAGGTTACTGGAGACTAAACAAATCAGAAACATTGAATTCTTCCATTTTATTCAGTTAATTTATTAATTCTAACACTGTTCTTGTTTCTTACAAAGCAACATTTTGTTGGGACCTTGATCCAGTTTCACATGGGCACTTCATTTTATTAACAGGTCTAGTGGACCAGCATATATGTATACTCTTTTATACCTGAGACTGAAACCCATAGTCAATTGTATGTGCAGTGATCCATGACACCAATGGACAAAGTTTATCCTAGAAATTGTTAAATCTGTTCAGTTCGTCTTAGTCATATAATTCTAGAACTGGGTCGCCTGGTTGCATATTTACAGGGTGGGTCAGTGTGATGCTCACATTCAGGGGTGGGTCACTTGGACGCACATTCAGGGGTGGGTCACTGGGACGCACATTCAGGGGTGGGTCACCAGTATACACATTCAAGGGTGGGTCACTGGCATGCACATTCAGGGTTGGGTCACTGGGACGTACATTCTGGGATGGGACGCTGGTATGCACATTCAGGGGTGGGTCACTGGCATGCACATTCAGGGGTAGGTCACTAGGGTACACATTCAGGGGTGGGTCACTGGGACATACATTCAGGGGTAGGTCACTAGGGTGCACATTCAGGGGTTGGGTCAATAGCATGCACATTAAGGGGTGTGTCACTGGCATGCACCTTCAGGGGTAGGTCACTAGGACGTACATTCAGGGGTAGGTCACTATGGTGCACATTTGGGGGTAGGTCACTGGCATGCACATTCAGGGGTGGGTCACTGGCATGCACATTCAGGGGTAGGTCACTAGGACGTACATTCAGGTGTAGGTCACTAGGACGTACATTCAGGGGTAGGTCACTATGGTGCACATTTGGGGGTAGGTCACTGGCATGCACATTCAGGGGTGGGTCACTGGCATGCACATTCAGGGGTAGGTCACTAGGACGTACATTCAGGTGTAGGTCACTAGGACGTACATTCAGGTGTAGGTCACTATGGTGCACATTCGGGGTTGGGTGCGTGCACATTTAGTGGTAGGTCACTATGGTGCACATTCGGGGTTGGGTCACTAGCGTGCACATTTGGGGGTAGGTCACTAGGACGTACATTCAGGGCTGGGTCATTATGGTGCACATTTGGGGTTGGGTCACTGGCGTGCACATTCACCAGTTGGTTAAACAGTGTGCAAATTCAGGGGTGTGTCTCTGGCATGCACATTCAGGGGTGGGTCACTATGGTACACATTTGGGGGTGGGTCGCAGGTATGCACATTCAGCAGTTGGTTGAACAGTGTGCACATTTGGGGGATGGATCACTGTTATGCACATTCAGGCGTTGGCTGAACGGGCAAACATTTGCGGGCGAGTAAAATAGGGGCACATGAAAGGACATGTCACTGGAATGCACATTCCAAGAGTACAATTGGGATGCATATTTGGGGTATGTCACTGGGATGTATACGGTATAGTGTTTGGCTCTTACCATAACCAATCTATTGATCAGGTCAGGTATAATCGCAGATTATAATAGAATACGACAATTGAAGTATGATCCCCAGAAAGATGTGTTGTCTGTACCAAGCATGGTGAATAACATGAACATGGGGATATTTTCAATGGTACCTACATCTGAGATGCTGATATTTGCTCCATAACAATTGATGATAACATGTTGCACACCCATGTGTATCTTGAAGTAAATGTTTTATCAAAAACATTGTTAAGTGAAGATTTTGTCGCACCACAAACTAGTTGTTGCTTTATGCCAATATACTCCTATTGAGGTTTGTTTGTTTGTTGTTTAATGCCGCACTCAGCAATATTCCAGCTATATGTCGGGGGTCCTATTGAGGTATACACGGTATTGATTCTGGGTAAGCATATAGGATCCAGGATCATATGCTTGTCGTGAGAGGTGACGAAATGGATCAATGGATCACAGTATCGGTTAACTATATGTCATTGTATCCCTGGATAATAACTGGTAGGTCAAAACTTGAATATTAACAGTCTGTAATAGCTGGAATATTGCAGAGTGCATTCTTAACAACAAACCAAAATATCTTCAACTTTTGAGGTATGATACTTAGATCAACATAAAATACCCTAGTCTGCGATTATTCCCCACCTGTTGAGTAAGTAGAAAGTTCTTTATAGTCGGCCTACATATTAATTTCATTATTTGGTGGGCATGGTGATATCAGGGAAACTAAGCCATGTAAGCTTTTATCATTGACATATCAGGTAACTTATTCCAACACAATTTGCTTTGCATTTTCATAAAACATCTTTAGAACCAAGTCAACTGACAAAATTAGAAGCTTACAAACTGTGGAATATTCAAATTCATTTAACCACTAATATGACACGTTCAGTGGAGTAAAGCAGGTCTGAAGCCCTCAGTATTATCTGATTTAACACTATCCCTGAGAGGGTCCTTTACACAGTACATAATCAATATTTTCTTGCACTTATGATTTCCAAAACAACCACACAACATACATATTAGGGATAGACACCTTTGATCATATCCAACAAGTTCACAGCTCAATTTGAACTAGTGCTTACGTAAAATATATATTCCTTCCATATTTTGTCGGACTAGGAACTTACATTTTTAGTCCACTCGTCCTTATAATAACATATAGCAAAACCCTTACAAAATGGCAAATTTCTAATAGTCCTTATGATACCTTAACTATTGGGCAGTTTGGCAAGGACTACAGGACTAGTGCCAATTTCTAAACCTGGAAATGTTATGCAATAATGACTTCAGAATAGAAATCATAACCACAACAATTGACTGATTGTTTATATTTCAGGATTATGCAAAATCTTATCAATGTCTTTTTTCTGTTAGGCCTAAAAAGCAAACATCTTACATCTGAGTTCGACACATAAAATTGGGACTAGGCATGTCAATGTCAAATGTGGTCATTAATAATACCAGATTTATGTAAATGTACTATTCATATCGAATTGTAGAGTTAGCAATATCAGAAACACTGAATAATGATGTTGTCTCTGGTGATTATATAATGCCAACAACGAATTCAGTGGTTACTTGACATTGAGCCTACTCCAATGCAATCAGCTGATTTGACAGCGAAAGTGAACAGGAGTAGGTCATTGTTTTTGCTTGTGTTTCCTGGCCTAATTATCCCAAATCATATGGTCAATTACCTCTCTTCCAGTTGGCACATGCTTGGCAAGTTTGACTTTTGCAAAATTTCCCTTCCCAATCGTTTTGATGAGTCGGTATTTCCCTATGTGGGGCTCATCTGTGGTTCTGGGTCTGGTGATTCGTGGGTCCCGATTCGGATTGTCATCCGCTGCCTTCAACAGAAATTGATCACGTGTGCAATACTGAACATTGACATACATTGATAAAAACTCAAAACACATACCACACTCAAATTCGACATAACACCGAGGAACTTACGTGGAGATCTACTGTCACCGACTCGGGGAGCGGCTGAAGGGGGGTCCGAGTTGTGGTAGACATTTTGAATAAATAATTGGGATGCTAGCGCTAATGAACTGCAGAAATAAGCTGCAAAAACAATAACTTCGTCCCCAAGAAAGGTCCAACACTGATTAAACTGACACACATTAATCCGAGTCAACGCAACAGATCCAGAAAATTGTTTTCAAGACAATCTTTTGTGCCTAGAACAGGTCGCTAAGGCTGACGGGCTGAGCCGAGTCTGACAGGAAGCTTGGCCCCCCTGAATTTTCGTGTGTTTTGCTCCTGGCGAATCTGGCCATGAAAAGTCTATTCTACCCCAGTTCTAATCTTCATGGTACACGCCATCATCTAGGCAAAATTACCCTGCGTTTCTGCATCCCACAATTGTATATTTTCTCCAAACACTTCCGAAATTCCGTGAGGCAAAATGGCTGACTTTTCTTCCACGCCAGGCTCGCGAGCCGTGCGCATTGAGGTCAGGATGACGGTATGTTATTGGTTAAGCCCGAGTATGACATCATTTTGCCAACCCAGCTGGGAAAAATAGTATAGTAACTTCGTTTACTGATATTCTTTGTATTTCTACCTTGATAGTGTGATCTAAAAGTACTGTAGATTGCAATCAACACATTAATTAAGGGTGTGGTTCTGATTCGTAAGAAGAATAAGCGCCGCTGACTGACAAGTCAACGCCATGACCGGGCCGGCAACTTCGCAGGTGCCCGATTGGTTTTTGAGGCGACGCCCACTTTAGGGGCAGGAGTGCTTTCAATCAACCGTGAATGACCATGGCAAAAGTTACTGAGTTCCGATTTGGCTCACATAGGAAGCCGTTCCCCGAAGATGATGACATCATTTGAGTACATGGAGGACATGGATGTGTGACGTCACCGACAGAGACGAGGTATGTTTCCGATACATTTTCTCATGTGTCGACAGGTGATGTCAGACAAGTGACATGGGCACTAAATATATATATATAACATAACGGTAGTACACATAACTTTATTTTTAACGGAAGGAAAAAAGGATGTTATTATTTTTTGTTAAAACTTTTGCCACCTAGGCTATACAGTCATTTTATTGCATAAATGGCATAAGGACTTTTTCACGATTTTAATTTCTAATAGGACATTACTAAATTTACAGAATATACCGTATTTGACGTAAAAAGCGCCAAGGGCACTCTCAAAATAAGAAAAAAAGAGGGCTCTTATTAGAATATAGTTTTGGTAAGAAAATAAGAAGTATCGGTAATATTGTGGTTTATGCTGATAGCTTAATATGATGCAAAAGAAAAGTCTGTGCATATTTTACACGACATATATATTTTCCAGAATTTAGATGCCCATAATTAATGGTGCATATAACACACGAGTGAGTATTATGCACGAATAAATAAGTCTTGTGTACATTGATCAATCGGAAGGGGTGCTTATTGGGATTGTTTACCAGTCAGTATATTAGCAAATATCGCCGGGCGCTTATTAGAGCAGGGCGCTTATTACGTCGAATACGGTAATCCTAGAGAATGAACTGGTCTGAAACCACAAATCAAATGTTTAGTTTCACAATCCTGTCAATCACAAGAAATACTCTTTGTAACATACATTAAGGAAATTAAATAATCAATATACCAATTGCACATAACTGTTTGAAATTAGACCTTTACAGAAAATTATTCAAGGTTGATTGTGGGGCGGTCAGGTAGCCTTGTGGTTAAAGCATTAGCTCGTCATGCCAAGGACCCAGGTTCGATTCCCGACATGGTTACAATGAATGAAGCCCATTTCTAGTGTCCCCCACTGTGATATTGCTGGAATATTGCTAAAAAAGCAACGTAAAAACAATACTCACTCACTCACTCTAGGTTGATGGTCCACTTATATGTTTGTTAGAAACATTAAAACTCTCAAAAACATATTTATAAGATTTTAATTTATTAATAAAACATCTTCACTGGCCAAAGCTTATATCACATTATTTTAAAAGGTAAATTTCTGCTATCTTTGCCTTAACCACATCAGTAGTGATATTGGAAGACAAGATGGCAGTCACTATGAAGCAGCTATTGGTTTAGATTTTTATTAAATGTAGAAACGTTAAAAATTCATTTTTTACAAAATATTTAGATTTTTCACTTGGAGATGTAGAAGTGAATTGCAAATCTAACTAACAGAGCAGCTGATGATAAATGACATATTAATGAGGGATACTTTGGGTTTTTTTAATTATGGATTTTTGGCACCAAAATTATGGTTGATGTGTTGAAAACAAATATAAAAAGAAATTTCAATGTGTTTTTTGTTTATTTCCTCAAAATTTGTAGTAGCCAGGACAAATGTGGGATGTTTAATTATAGTATTTGGAATAATTTATTTATATTGATAGCAACAGTAAATGAGTGTTTTCTTGACATTTTACTTATTTCTGAGAACCAAACACCCTACCTCACTATCAAACACCCCAAGCCACTACCAAACACCCTACCTCACTACCAAACACCCTGCCTACCAAACACCAATCCTCACTACCAAACACCCAACCTAACTACCAAACTCCCCACCTCACTACCAGACACCCTGCCTCACTACCAACCTTACTACCAAACATCCTGCCTCACTAACGAACACCCAACCTCACTACTAAACACCCTCCCTCACTACCAAACACCCCACCTCACTACCAAATACCCTTCACATCATTTTAAAAACTTCAAGTATATAAACAAAAGCCTCTTGCCTCAAATTTAAGAAATTGATAGAAACTTGAATAACTCTTTAATTGTAGCTGGTATGATTCCCTGATTAAATTTAGGTGCATTAGTCAGTGTAGATTGTAAAAAAATGTGTGCTCACTGTAGTTCTGTATCAATGAATCTGTTGCTATGGTAACACGTATATGCTAATTTCTCTGTCAAGGAAATGCCCAAACACTGTTAGCTAATTGTATAATCAACATTATCGGCATGTTGTTATTAGCATGTCAGGATACCAGTGTTAATGAGACGGAGAGAATAGCTGTTTTACGACCAAGGCATAATTACTTGATAACTAAAGATGTGTGAATTGCTGTGTCGTAAAACTGATTGTCTGCAATATGCAAGTGCCGGAACCATTGATGTCCAAGGTATTTACCAGATATACCAGTTAACATCCTGAATACACCACTTAAGATCCTGAAAACACCACTTAAGCCATCTTAACAGTAAACTGATATAGAGTCACACCATCGTCTTGTGTTCTTAAGGCTTTTTTGTTTCTTATTGGGCAGGCTTTTTTAAATTCATTTACAGATTCAGACTCAAAGAGAATGAAAAGTGGACAAAAATATTTATTTAAAAAATTCACAATTTTTAATGTTCACAACAAAACTTTGTATACAATTTGTTCAATTGTGCAACCATAAAGTAAATTTCTAAATTCCTTTCAAAGATTTCAACAATACAGGAGACTGTTTATTGATAACAACTTCTTTAATATACATGTACTGTTACATCAAAGATGTTATCCATAAATTGTGTCTACTTTGTCACCTGTCTGCTTCTAAAACATGCTTACCAAACAATGCAAGACAATATAGGTTAAAAGACAAGATTAACTAGCGCAACACATATTCAGATAGCTGTTTGAAGAATTAAAAAATATTGTGGCATGTTTTGTTTTTTTATTTCTTTTTCCAATTACCAACCAAGTTGGCCTTGCTGGTTTCACAGATTAGCCAACCCTGTCTTGCGACCTGAATAGGTTCAAAGGCCCCGTCAGAGAGCAATTATAACCATGAAGAATAGGTCTTCAACAACCCATGCTTGCCGTAAAAGGCGACTATGCTTGTCGTAAGAGGCGACTTACGGGATCGGGTGGTCAGGCTCGCTGACTTGTTTAATGTATGTCATCATATCCCAATTGCGTGGATCGATGCTTATGATGTCAATCACTAGATTGTCTGGCCCAGGCTTGATTATTTACGGATTGCCCTCACATAGCTTGAATATTGCTGAGTGCGGCGTTAAACAACAACCATCAAACAAGTCACTGAATCTGATTTTCCTATTCACTTAGTTGCATCTTACGACCCGCATCGGTTGCTGTGGACAATTCTAACCCAGAATGCTCAAGGGGTGTGGTAGGGCAATTAAGAGTGCAAACGCATGAAAGTGGTTTACTTTCTATTACTTTGTTTGCGAAGCCTTCAACATCAGTATCTTTGAGTGTCATTTCAGAAGCTGTAACGAAACCCACTCATTGTTACAAGCTTTGTCCCTGTCATCATTGTCCCGAGTTTGTTGTATCTGTTAATCTCTGTACATGTAACTCTAAGCCTTGTAACCATGTCCTACCCAGTTGTTGATCACTTGCTTGATAAAGGTACTAGCACCTGCACCGAAATGTCGAACTGACATAAAAAAGTTGAAATCTGACAGCTCTGTCTTCATCCTAAATATCAGGAATTTGGAAAGTAATAATTATGAATAAATCTTTTTTATAACCAGAAGTTGAGCCGAAGTTTTGTCTTTTTTAGATAGATATGTTGTAAGCATAATCTAGGAGAAATCATGTCGTAATTTGATAGTGATCTTTATTATGGTATGGGTTTTAACATGCCACAATGAATAAGTATTATAAGGTTATGAATACACAATGCCATTTAGAAAGTGGTCAAATGTAACAAATGTTATATTTGGGATATAATATAACACTTTCTTAGGGAAGTACAGATTCTTGTACTTTTTTGGGTTGAGTTCTGTAAGGGATTCAAACCCACACTGCCAGAGTGAGGCACCTAATCACCAGCATATAACGTCAGCGATCTAACCCACTCAGCCTCCAAGGCTTCCTAAAAAATGAAAGTCCGACAACTGGTGGTCTAGTATGAGAATCTGTACTTTACTCAGAAAGTGTTATCCCAAATATAAGTTTGACCACTTTCTAAATGGCATTGTGAATTCACAGCTTTCGGCCATGAGAGCCGTGCCACTTTACACTTGTCAGAGGGGTACACAAAGTACGTGATCTAGACTACCAGTTGTCAGACTTTCATTTTGTGGAGGCCTCGGTGGCTGAGTGGGTTAGATCGCTGACTTTGTGTGCTGGCGATTAGGTGCCTCACTCTGGCAGTGTGGGTTCGAATCCCGGAGGGGACTCAACCCAAAAATGTACGAGAATCTGTACTTTACAAAGAAAGTGTTAACCCTAAATATAACATTTGTTATATTATAAGGTTCAGTTGGAAAAAATCTGTGACCTTATTTCCAGTTTGTCAAATTTGTCAAATTCCAAAGAGATAAGATTGGAGGGCCTGAGTCAGTGTATCTATAACCCCATGGTGTGTGAAGAGACAGATATCAAGAGACCAAAAGTCACTGTCCTTCAGAGCTTTCAGATAATATATCTCGTTTGTTTCCAAAATGCAAGCTGTCAAAAATATATTTTGATAACGACTGACTCCGTGACAAGTGTCAAGAAATAAT